AGTAGCAGTAGTCGTAGTAGTAGCTCTAGTAGTAGTAGTAGTAGTAGTAGTAGTAGTAGTAGTAGTAGTCGTAGTCGTAGTCGTAGTCGTAGTCGTAGTCGTAGTAGTAGTAGTAGTAGTAGTAGTAGTAGTCGTAGTAGTCGTAGTAGTAGTAGTTGTTGTTGTTGTGGCAGTAGTAGTAGGAGCAGTGGTGGTAGTAGTAGTAGTATGGGAAGAAGAAATAAAATCCGGCATAGGTGTGTCCCAGTAGCTTGTAACCGTGACATCGCTTCGCAGGTCATGGAGTGTCGCATTGGCTACATGGGGCGGCAGTCTAAGTATGCAAATGCTCCTCGCGGATGTGTGCACCAGCGAGGCGACGAGGAGGAGAAGAAAAGAGGAGGCGGGCGAGGAGGAGAAGAGGAAGAGGAGGATGGACGACAAGGAGGATGAGGAGAGGAGAAGGAGGCAGAGAGGAGAAGAGAGCATGAGGAGGAAGAGAAGGGAAGAGTAGGAATGTGATGAGGAGAAGAGGCGGAGGAGGAGGAGGAGGGGGAGAAGGAGGCGGGACGGAGAAGAGGGGAAACGGAGGAGGAGGACGACGACGACGAGGAGAGGGAAGAGGACGAGGAGCATCTTGGAATTAAACAACAACAAACGGCGGCGCGCCCAGCGGTGAATGCAGAGGGGGTGGGCGTTTCAAGAAGCATCATAATGCCTCTGGCCTTCTGGAAAGACTTTCAGCCTTCTCCGAAGCCCCGCCGCCTGAGAAGACCTGCCCCCCCTCATTGCAGCCGTCGGCGCACCGCCGAAGACAAACGTTCATCGACCTGCCGCCCTCCCAGGAAATGTGCAAGAAGCTCAATGCGTACCCCGACGGCTGCCAGTGCCCGGGTTTCGAGGGCGAGCCAGCTGGCGAGGACGACACGCGCGCGTGTTACGTGAAGAACTGCCAGGAGGGCCGCATCGTCCTCATCATCCCTCCTGCCCCCACTTCGTCCTCCATCCGAAGTCTTAATACATGCCCTCCCCCTGTCGCACCCCCAGACGTGTCGGTGGGGCGAGCTGACTTGGCGTTTCGCCTCAGAGGTCCTCACCATTCCTGATCCTGAGGCGCGAAATCTGCAGCAGCCTCGAGGATCAAGGGCGGGCTGTGCTCAAATTGGAGATCTCGCTTGGGCGCCACGCAATTTCATCCTCAACACTTGCAGCAGTTTCAAGGAGGGTGGAGAGTGGGCCGTTTTCAACATGTAGATATCTAAGCGCCGCGCACACTTGTCTCAGAAGTTCGTAGCAGTTTCAAGGATTGGGGTTGGGCCGTATCCAATATGGAGCTCTCGCCTTAACGCCGCGCGCATCCGTCATAAAAGTGTGCAACACCGTCGAGGGTGGAGGGGGGGGGCCAGTTTCAAGTGGAGCCTTCGTTGGAGCGCCGTGCACGTTTGTCTTTTCTTATTCGATTAAAGCAGCTTCTAGGATGAACCTTGGCCTTTTCAACATGAGGACCTCATCATTGAAGTTCGCAAAGGCTTCGAGACTGGATGCTTTGTTCCAAACTATTTGTTTCGCCCCGCGCTGCGCTCGTCATCAAAGTGGACGGAGGTGGGGCCTTGTTCAAAATGAAGCTCTCGCCCTGTTGCCGAGCGCATTCACTTGAAACTCTCGCAGCAGTAACAGAGAATGAGCGGTTGATGTTTAAAGTGAGGCTGTGGCTTGAGACCTGGTGGTAATTTAAGACCAGAAGCGTAATCATATTTAACAGCCGCACGATTGAAGGGTGGCTATTGTTCGCAATTGGGTTGTCGATTGATACGTTGTTCAGTTTGAAGCTCGAAACTCTTAAGGGTGGTTCCTTTTGGACATGGGTTACATTTCCATATGTTCGCGGCGTTCATGGCCAGGAATGATACATTGCGCAAGCTAAACACAGACGGAACGGCCCCTTCAAACGGATACGCGTTTGGACACATTGTTGTGTTGTGCGATCTTGCCTTCGCGCATGCCCCATCACGCGCTTGAAGCATGCGAGACAGTTAGTTCGTTGTCATACCAGCGCCCATTCCTGAATGGCAAGCACTTGAGTCGCTGTTCTTTCCAGGAGGCGCATCCTAAAGTCGAAAGGCATGCTGTGGCTTTGAAGGATGAGGAGGATACATGGTACGGAGGTTGTATTTCACTATCGTTTGTGCATTTTGGGTTTAATTGGGTATTTGTTCCCCCCACGTATCATCCTCGTCAGGACCATCCCATGACCGACCAGGACAGGGTAGGGTCACTCTCGCAGCATGCCGTTTTTGGTAGACGGCACCCATCCCTCACCCAGCGGGGGGGAAGGTCGGTCGACGGGGCCATTGTCTTCCAGTTGGGTTGGGGATTATTTTGCTTGTCCAGATCATCGTCCACATTCTGAGGATGCAACCCCTGGGTGGTTAACTCCAATATCGGCCCTGGTATATCCGTGGTCGAAACCCACCTCATCCGGCATAATCCATACGACCTTCCTGCGATTAGAGGGCAGGTTGGCGCACTGTAACACTTGGCCTGCCTGCCTCTCTCTCTCTTTCTCCCCCTCCACCTCCTCAACCTCCTCCCCTCCCCCTCATTACCCTCCTCATCGTCTCATCCTCTCCTCTCCTTCCCACCCCCTCCTCCTCATGGTCCTCCTCTCTCCTCCGCATCCTCTCTCCCCATCATCTCTCCTCTTCTCTCCTCCCCCTTCTCTCCTCCTTTTTCCTCCATCCTACCTGCTCATCCTCATCATCATGTCCCCCTCCTTCCCTCTCCTCCTGCCTTCTCTGCGGCTCCCGCGCAAACGGCTCCCTGATCTAGCCCGCGCGAGCGCGCGCCTGTGGCAGGACCCGGACAACCATTGCCCCACCGACGCTTTCGTCACGTGCGTGAAGACGACGAGCAAGGCCTCGTCGACATCCTCGTCATCTTCCTCCTGCTTCGTCGACGTCCTCGTCGTCTCGTCGTCGTGGTCGGCGTCGAAGAGGGGAGAAGAGGAGGAGGAGGAGGATGTTTTTTCTCTGCGAGCCGTGAGGCGTAACCACGGGGCCACGATTGGCCGAACACACACGGGCCACAATTGGCCGTGGGCCTAGCAGGAGCACGTGCTCCGCTTTTCAGCCCTCCAAAACCTGGGCCTGGCAGGAGTCCGTGCTCCGCCCTTCAGCCCATGGGCCTGGCTGGAGGCCTTGCTCCGCCTCACAGCCCTTTGCCCACACGCCAGGTATAGCCAAGGCCCCGCAAGCCAAGACGGAGTGCCCCCGGCGGCCGCCGGGCGCCCTCCGCCCCCGCGGCTCGCAGGGCCCCAATCACACCCAGCGTGGCGTGCACAGCACGCCTGGACGGATTTTAGTTCCCCCGGGTACCCCGAAGAGCCGTCCACTCCACGGGTTGCCCACCCGGGGGCGGAAAGGAGGAGGAGGAGGAGGAAGAAGAGTAGGAGGAGGAGGAATAGGAGGACAACTACGACAGGATGAGAACGAGGGGAGGAGAGGAGGGTTGAGGAGGGAGAAGGAGGAGGATGAGGGGGAAGATGAGGAGAGAGCAGAAGGGAGGAGACAACCCGAAAGGGAGAGGAATGGTAGGAGGCCTGGCATGAGGACTATTACAAGTTGCCTACTTTCTGGAAGACCCGGTTTGGCGTCCCTTCTCCGCTTGCTGTGTTGTCCTAGGTTCCCCCTTTGGTTGAACCACGGTTGTTCCTGCTCCTCCCCGCTGGATAGGATTCCCTGCACCACGCGCATGTTTTTCCTAACCATCCTGAGACAGTGCCCCGCGTCTTGCCCACCTCCCCCTCCTCTTCCTCCCGCTCCTCCTTCCTCCTCCTATCCATGCCTTTGCCACCCGCACCAGTCAACCATTTCGGCACACCCCGCACACGTTTCGTGTCCCGAGTAGTTACGCTCGCCTGCGCTCGCCGCACCCACATCCCTCGCACGTTTCGTGGCCACATGGGGGCTCCACCGAAGGCCCCAGTGACTGCGTTACCACGCGCCCGCCGCACCTATTTCGGCACACTCCTCACACGTGGCCCCGTAGGGAGCGCCACCGAAGGCTTAAGTGGTTGCGTTCTAATGCGCCCGCCGCACTCATTCTGGCGCATTCCTCACGTTTCGTAGCCCCATCGGGAGCTCCACTGAAGGCTTCAGTGGCTGCGTTCGCATGCGCCCGCCACACCCATTTCGGCACATCGTGGCTCCATAGGGAGCTCCATCGAAGGCAGTGGCGGTGTTTGCATGACCCCGCCCCACCTGTTTCGGCACACCATTCACACGTTTCGTGGCCCCGCAGGGAGCTCTGGGAGATTCACCGAAGCCCCCAGTGGCTGCGTTCGGACGCGTCTGCCCTTCTCATTTCCGGCTCACTACTCACAGGTGTCGTGGCCCCATGGAGAGCGCCACTGAATGCTCCAGTGACGGTGTTCGCATGCGTCCGCCCCGCCCATTTCGGTACATCCCTCGCACCGTTCATGTCCCCATGGGGAGCTCCACCGACGGCCCCAGTGGCGGTGTTCGCATGCGTCCGCGCCCCACCCAATTCGGCATACCCCTCACACGTCTCGTGGCCCCCCAGGGAACTCCACCGAAGACCCCAGAGGCTGCATTGGAATGCGCTCAGGGCGCCCATTTCGGCACACCCGTCACACGGTTCATGGCCCCATAGGGAGCTCCACCGATGACAATGTTCACATTTGCGTTACTCACAATTGCATATGGTTGGGTCCTTCGCCAGGCTAATGTTGTTCTTCCCAACCATCCTGTGGTGTTGGGTCCCCGTTTTGAAGAGACGGTGCCCCACGTTCCTCTCCTCCTCCTCCTCCTCCTCCTCCTCCTCCTCCCGCCCCTCTTTCTCCCTCCCCTCCTCCTCCTTCCATGCGTTTCACCCACCCAGCACAGCGCTTCGTGGCCCCATAGGGAGCTCCACCAAAGCCCCCAGTGGGACCGCCCGCATGCGTCCCCCACACCCAATTTGGCATTTCCACCCACCCAGTACAGCGTTTCGTGGCCCCATAGGGAGCTCCACCGAAGCCCCCAGTGGGACCGCCCGCATGCGTCCCCCACGCCCAATTTGGCATGGTCACCCACCCAGTACAGCGCTTCGTGGCCCCATGGGGAGCTCCACCGAAGCCCCCAGTGGGACCGCCCACATGCGTCTACAGCGCTTCGTGGCCCAATAAGGAGCTCCACCGAAGTCCCCAGTGGGACCACCCGAATGCGTCCCCCACACCCCACTTGGCATTGTCACCCACCTTGTCACCCCCCATGATCTATCGGCGATTCATCGGCGACTTCAGGTCGACGGTTCCTACCTTGTCCAGTCCCCCCTCCTATCGTTGGCCCTGAGTGGACGCGGCCGACGCGTTGCGCCATAGTGTTCTACGCAAGAGCTGTCGAAAAGGAAGGAGTGTTGGGGAGGGATCCTCGAGGGCTGGAGGAGTCTTTTTCATTCGACTTGCGGCATTGGGGCTGGATAAATCGATGCGAGTCGGCGTAATCCCACATACATCTCGGTAAATCAAAAGATCTCTGGAGAAGTCAGAGTACATCGTTGAAGGCACTGCGCGAGTCGTGGAACCGTAAAAGTCATGAAGCCCACAGCGGAGGGAGAGAGTCAGGAAGTGTGGGGTGGGAGTGCGGGAGATAGTGCCGAGGGAGGGAGGCCACCACCAGGAAGCTTCAATGTACGAACAGTTCGTTCCAGTTCCTCAGGGCGTTCACAGATCCTCTGGACTTCGCGAGCTCCCCGAGATCTCCAGGCCACTCGCACTGTGCCCGATCTGTCCACTCTCTGCCCTGTTCCTCGGGCCAGGAGGGAGCGAGGGAGAAGAGAGGAGAGCCGGCTTTTCATTCCTCCTCCTCCTCCTCCTTCACTACACCCAGACGTCCGACCTCGTGAATTGTTCACAGTGGTGCTGTCCAGTGGCCTGGACTCCCTCCCCAGGACCGGCTTTTCATCCCGAGTCGCTCCGTTGACGGTCCAGGGACGGCGAGGTCTCATTCTGATCTGCGTGGGACACCATTCCATTGGACCTCCCCAGGGCCCACCAGGGACGGCGAGGTCTCATTTTGATTTGTGTTAGACGGCACTCCGCTGGACCTTCAGGGGGCCACGAAAGTGGCGACGTCTTCGCTGTTCGCAGCCCCCCAGGGACGGCGAGGTCTCATTCTGATCTGCGTGGGACGCCACTCTGCTGGACCTCCCAGATGGCCACGAACGTGGCGACAGTTTCGACGGCCTCAGTCCCCCAGAGACAACGAGGTCTCATTCTGATCTGCGAGGGGCACCACTCCCCTGGACCTCCCAAGAGCCCACGAAAGCGTTGACAATATCGTAGTTCGCAGCCCCCAGGGACGGCGAGGTTTCATTCTGATTTTACGTTGGACACCACTCCTATGGACCACCCAGGGGCCATATCGCAGTTCGCAGGCGGCGAGGTCTCGCGTGAGACACCACTCCGCTGGACCTCTCAGTGTACCATGAAATTGGCGACGGTTTTGCAGTCCGCAGCCCCCTCGGGACGGCGAGGTCTCATTCTGATCTGCATGGGACTCCGCTCCTCAAGACCTCCCAGCCAAGGGCCCACGAACGTGGCGACAGTTTCGCAGGTCTCAGCCCTGGGACCGCTCCCCTGGACCTCCCAGGCGCCCACTAAAGTGTGACAGTGTCCCAGTTCGCAGCCACCCAGGAGCGGGGAAGTATCACTCTACTCTGATCTGCGTGGGGCTCGCCTGCGCTGGGCCTTCTCTGGGCCCACGACAATGTCGCAGCCCCTCCAGGGACGGCGAGGTCTCATTCTGGTCTGCGTGGGGCACCATTCCGTTGGACCTCCCAGTCGCCCACGAAAGTGGCGACAGTTTTGCAGTTCACAGCCCCCCCAAGTCTGACTCGAATCTGCGTTGGACACCACTCCGCTGGACCTCCCAGGGTCCCACGAAATTGGCGACGGCTTTGCACTTCACAGTCCCCCAGGGCCGGCGAGCCGGCGAGGTCTCATTCTGATCTGCGTGGGGCACCACTCCGTTGGACCTCCAAACGGCTAGCGAAATTGACAACATTTTCACTGTTTGCAGCCCCCCAGAGACGGCGAAGTCTCATGTCTGCGGTCTGCATGGGACACCACCCCGCTGGACCTCCCAGGAGCCCACGAACGTGGCAACAGTTTCGCAGTTCTCTTCGTAGGACTCCACTCCGCCGGTCCTCCCGGGTGCCCACGAAAGTGGCGACGGCTTCGCAGTTCGCAGCACCCCACGGACGGCGAGGTCTCATTTTGATCTGCGTGTGACACGACTCCACTAGACCTCCCAGGGGCCTTTGGAGTTCGCATCGGCCCAGGCAGATCAAGCGGGAGGGAGGAGAGGAGAGGGGGAGGAGGTGGAGGAGGAGGAGGAGGAGGTGGAGGTGGAGGTTGTGGAGGAGGAGGAGGAGGAGGAGGAGGAAGAGGAGGAGGAGGAGGAGGAGGAGGAGGAGGAGGGGAGGAGGAGGAGGGAGGGGAGGAGGAGGAGGAGGGAGGGAGGGAGGGAGGGAGGAAGGGAGGGAGGGAGGGAGGGAGGGAGGGAGGAATATGAGGAGTTGGTTTTCTGGTGTATTGATTGACTGGTGCATGAAGGTGGAGGTACGTTTGGACCCCTCCCTGCAGCCGTCTTCGTTGGTCGAGGGGCTGCAGGGAGTTCTTTGGCCCCCTCCATTGGCTATTGACGCCGTAAAGTGTTGGTGAATTGGTGTATTGGTGGGAGAGGGCGACCCCAGCGGCCCCTATGATGGCAGCCGCAGGGGGTGTGAGGCCTATGATGGTCCTCACCAGGGTGGGGGTGGGGGAAGAGGCAGGAAGTCGAAGCGGATGTCCGGCAGCAACGTCCCGTGGGGATACCTGGAAAGGGGACTTCAAATCAACGTCTGTCTTCCGCCTATGTTCCAGAGGAGCCCCGTACAAACAGCAGAGGCAAAGAGAGGGAGGGAGAGAAGAGAGAGAGGGAGAAAAGGAGGAGGAGGAGGAGGAGAGAGAGAAAGAGAGAGAGAGGGGGGGAAGAGAGAGAGAGAGAGGGGGAGCAGGGGTCCACTCGGCGAGGAAGGGCAAATAAACGGCCTGCCTTTTCGACACCAACACGGGCGTTCTAACGTGCTCCGGAAACGCTGTTCCGGGGCACGCTGGGCAAGCACATATCCGACGGTCCTGGCGGAGATACCTTAAGGAGGGACGTAATGAAGGGGCAGGGGAGGGAGGGGAAGTGGTGTTGTCATTCGGACAGAGGGTCGGAGGGAGGGAGGGGGGAGATTTTCTAGAGTCCCACGCCACCACGGCCGGACGCGGCACGGAAAACTGGCACGTTGGGGATCAGGGAGAAGCCCGGGGACCGCCGAAGCGAAGACAAAAGAGAAAACATGCCCTTGCGGTTTGGGGTTGTCCCTGTTCTCGATGAGCATGGGTTAGAGGTCGCTCCTGAGGACGGTCCCAAGGCAGGATTCCTGAAAAGGGGGTCCGAAAACGGCCTGCACAGTTTCGACACCGAGACTGGATATGCCCTACGAGTTCGTTATCCCATGGGGTGGGATAACAGCTGGGGGAATGACTCGGGGGGCAGTGTTTATTCGACCGCGGGTCGAAAGCAGGAGGGTCGAAGGGGAGGGAAGGGAGAGAGCAGAGAGGAGAGGAGGGCCAGGGGAAGGGGGCAGGGACGGGGAGCGTCCGGAAGAGGAGAGCGGGCCTGACCGGGGGACCTGAAGCCGAAGCAAAGCGACAGGGGGGGACGATCCAAGGCGGCCCCTGGACAGCTCTCGGCGAGGGCCGCTGCTCCGGACGTGTAGATTGGACGGCGGTTATACCCATCCTTAGAGAAAGGCGGCGGGGGGGGGGGGGGGGGAGAGGAGGGGAGTAGGCCCAGCCACACACCTGCGCCCCAAGTGGCAGACGGAGGTTGCTGGGAGGGTTTTACATACCCGTCCTTGGAGAGCTCGGTTAAGGGGGGGAGGGAGGGAGGGAGGGAGGGAGGGAGGGAGGGAGGGAGGGGGGGGAGGGAGGGGAGGGGGGGGAGGGAGAGAGGGAGGGAGGGAGGGAGGGAGGGAGGGAGGGAGGGAGGGAGGGAGGGAGGAGGAGGAGGAGGAGGAGGAGGAGGAGGAGACGAGGACGAGGACGAGGAAGACGAGGAGGAGGAGGAGGAGGCGTTTGAGCAGGATGAGGGGAAGAGGAGAGGAGAGGAGTGGGTGATGGTGAGACACCTTTGCTCTAGCCAAAACGAGAAGCCAACCGAAGGAGGGATGTGCGTGTTTCCTTGACGCGGATAGTGTCCATTTCGATCCGATCGATCCAGATCGATGTCGGTTTCGGCCCGCTCGATCCGACCCGATTTCGATGTTCCGGAGATCCAGTGTTTCCCGATGTTTGCATGGGCGCGGTTGTGCATCGTTGCGTTGCAGATTCGATTCGATTCCGATTGAGTGCCGATGCGGCCCGAGTCGTGCACGTTTAGATCCAGTCCGTCTTCTCGATTCGATGTTGGCCGCTCCTCCCTTTTTCCTTCTCCTCCCCGCTCCTCCCTCCTCCTCCCTCCTCCCACTTCAGGTCGGCCTAGGCTGGGAATCCATCGCTCCAGAGCGTTCTGGAACGCTTTCAAAGCGCTCCAGTACGCTCTGGAACAAGCCGCGGCGCCAGATGCGTTCTTCAGACCCACCGTATCTCAGAGATTCCAGATTTATCTCCATCCGATGTTGTCCTCACCCTGCCTTCGTCTCACCACTCCCTCCACCTGCCGTCGGGTGATGCCAGGAGGGCCCCAGGCCCAAAGGTGTCCCCGAGACTTCCAAGGAGACCGCCACGGCCTCCGGAGTATCCCTATCAGGGCTCAGAGGGCCCCAGAGGCTCCAAGATGGAGCGAACAGCTGGGGGCACCTTGGGCCAGGAACACCTTTGGCAACCCTCAGCCGGGCCCCGGAGCCATCGGCGCGCGCTCCCCAGTTCTCGGCGTTGCAGCTCCCTGCCATGCTGCAGAGCTTGGACCTGTACGAGAAGAATTTCAAGGCGCCTCCGCGGGCCGCTGGGCAAAGTCATCTCGATGCCTGAAGAAGAGCGAGGCATTCGCATAATTCCGATTTGTTCTGCTTCGAGCGAGCCCCACCCGAGAACGAGCTGGGCCGCTTGGAGCTTGAGGCCTGGCGGCCGCGGCATGCAGTCGTCATCCGTCGAAGACGAGAGTCGGGATACCCAGGGAGCAGCGGGACCCTTGGGGCCTCGCGGTCGACATATGCTGGATGCGCAAGGCTGACAGGGAGTTGCTTCCCTGAAATCTAACAACCTCAGCCTGTCGTGTGGGAAGCTATCAGAGGTCCGCGTGAATTTCCGAGCAGACGGCGGCGGCGACGACGGCGTCGCCAATGCTGGCGTCCTTCGCCGCCGCCGAATCGCCCTCGCGGGACGGGGCCCCCTGCGAGCCGCGGAGTGTCTCCGCCGTCCGTCCGTCTTCGACGGCGACGCCGCCGCCTTGGACGAAGTCGCCGCAGTCGTTCGTCTTTGCTTGGCGTCTCCGCCCCGGACCCGCGCCAGCGGGGAAGCGAGAGCTCCATTGCCGTGCCTTCTCCACGGCGTGGACACCTAAGGGCCCGGAGGGGAGGGTGCTCAGAGGAGAGGAGAGGAGAGCAGCGAGGGAGAGGAGGGGATAGCCCAGGTCGCTCGCCCACGTATCCTCCTCCCCCCCTGATCATTCCTCCTGCCCGCAGGGGAGCACGCCTCGCGCCAAGCTCCTGACCAGGATGTATGTGCCTGTTTGGGCCCACGCGCCCCAGGCGCCCCAAGCGGGCGAGTTCTGCTCTGTTGCGGCCGCGAGGGTGAAATTGGACAGGGACGCCAATGTGTTCAGTAATTGTGCCAGTGTAGTTGCAGTGTTCAAAAGAGCTCCTTCGAATAGAGGTTATGGACATTGAACCTACGCGGGCTCCACTGTTGAAGGTTTTCCGGGCGCTGTCAGGACCATCCAGGGGGTCACTTGCTGTTCACAAGAAGTTCAACGAAGATGGCATGTCTGAAGTTGACGCCTACCGTCGTCTGGGGAATCACTTCGCTGACGAAGCGGCGAAGCTCAGAACACAGCAGCACCCAGAAGTGTGACCTCACGGGTCTTGAATATGTGGAGATTGTGCGCTGTGCCATGGCAAGAGTTCTTGCCCATTCTGTGGTTTGGGTCGCCCCGCATTGGCAGTGTGAAGTTCGTTTCCGAGGGAAGAGAAGTCTCTACCGCCCCCCTCCAGGCACATGCAGCGTGCCCGCTCGTTTGAATGATGATGGTCGACATCGCTGTGCGGTTATTTATTGCTCAGATGATTTGTGTCTCTGCATGTGCTTGGACTGCCACCATTGTCAAGCCAAGCTGGCCAAGCCCTGTGAGGGCAAGTCGGATTGAGCTGGGAGGATTGTCTGGAAATATATGGTCCAGGGCTTGGGCCCCCCCCCCAATGCTGATGCCATTGCCCCCCCCCCCCCCGCGCGATGGTCCCCCCCGCCCCCCCCTGTGGGCGTGGCGTGGTGCGGCGCTGCGGTGCCCCCCCCCCCCCTGTGGATGTGGTACTTTGAGGGTAGCTTTTGGGGAGATGTTATAGATAATCGGGAGTATAGCCTGCGCGTCGCTGTCTTATGGCTCAAGGCACGCGCGCCCGATTTGCCCGGATACCTGACTTGGTATTCGCTATGTGCTGGGAAGATCATTACATCCATCTTATCCTATCTTACTCATCCACACCCCGTATCGTATTCGTTCGACATGGAATTGGATGCAATATGACCTACCAGAGTCATTTCAGACTTGGTAGCGGAGCTGGCCGCACTCTCGTGTGGTCAGCTCTTGTTCTTCTTATCCTCACGCTACCCGGCACGATCCTCGTGACCAATCTCTACCCTGCGCCACCACTCCACCGACATCTACGAAGATCAATTCAAGAGCAAGAAGCAACACGAGAGGTACGACGTCTAGACAACAACATTGGCACCATATACGCTTCATCACAACGCTACTACCAACCGCTCGGCAACGAGCCAAAAGCGCAGCACTTGAAGCGTAGGCGGGGAGACCCGCAAGAAAAAAACGCCTAGTAGACTTGACAAGGCGCTACAAGCCCTGCCCCAGCGCGGCAACGCGCCCGATGACCACCCATACCTCCACAGCTTAGGGTTGGTTATATTTGCCATTATCTGGTTTGCGCTGGGAGCGGCAATCGGACACATGCGCCGAGGAGATAATAGCACCGATCGGCAAACACATGGCCCATACTGGGACCCCCAAGGCAACGTGCCCTTTCGCGAGTACGTATTCGAGGTCAACGCGTGGCTTAACGTCACGAGTGGACGCATGACGCCACAAGCCCAAGTTGCCGCCATACAACGCGGCCTGGGCGGCCGAGCGAGGACATTCGCCATGAGGGTACCACCTGACATCATAAACTATGGTTCGGACATCGATGGTGCCCACACCGACCCAGTAACATGCATTATGGTCCTCCTAAGCATGAAGTTCGAACGCCTGGAAGATGAGCGCCAGCTCACCTCAGGCACCCAGCTCATTGACTCCCATGTGCTTCACGGAGAACGGATCGACGTAACCCTTACTCGGTTCGAAACGGCCCGTCTTGAGGCACAATCGGTGGGCTTTGGCCTTCCCAACTTCCGACTGCTCACGACTATCCTATTCCGCGCCCTAGGCGCTGGTAGCCACCGAGCCATGCAACTCCTACAACCACTCAACCACCAAATGCCCCGAACATAACAACAGCATGAAGAACTGTGTGAGAGGATGCGCTCGATAGGCCATCCGTCAGAACGGCCTCCTGGCAACATAGGATCAGTGTTTGGAAGGGGAAGGGGAACTGGCAGTGGACATTTCTATACTACCTCAACCACTGAAGCTCAGCCTTGCAGCGGGCCCTCAAACGTGTGGGCCGACGATCCTGGAGAATCTACTGCCCTACTAGCAGGGGGTCGATCAACACCAAGCTGGGCAACCAGCCCTCCTCCTCGAGAGCCTCGGCCTCACCGCTCTCTATGGGGAGAAGCGAACCCCCTAAACGACGGTGTGGCCACCTACCTAGGTAACGACGATTTCGACTCAGGCACCGACGCCGACACGATGTCATCAGATGGCATCGAACCACTAGACTGGTCAGATACCATGCAAATTGAAGGTGGTAATCAGCGTGCCGAGCGTCTATTTTGGTTATTACAACAAGCAAAGCGTAGGTGGAGGAGGGTTACGCGAAAACCAGTGCGCCGCGCTAGGAGGAGGAAACGGCGGAGCTTCAACGGAAAAGGCAAAGGCAAACGGGGTCGCCGAAGGTTGAACGGACGAGGCATCACGGCTTTCTTCCAGAGGTTTTCGGATGGTCAGTATGATGAGATATTCGTCGGGGGAACAGGCCGTGGAAAAGGCCGCAGGGAAACCTCAGGCAAAGGCAAAGGCAGGCGGGGGAATCCGCGAGGTAGAGACGGCCAGGTCTTGAAGTGCCATGAATGTGATAGCACCGAACACCTTGTGAAGGATTGTCCAGTGAAAGGAAATGGAAAGGGTAGATCGTCCGAAGTCCAGTTGGGCTCAAGTGAACCTGCTGTTGAGTATTTGAGCCTCCAAGACTTCGAGGCTGTGGAACAGATATTTTTCACTTGGGTCAGTAACATGGGCACTCTGGACGAGATCGAGGCGCACGGCCTTGGGCTCTACGCGTACTACCTCGAGTACCTCCGCAGGTTCGTCTTCGGAGCCATCGAGCTCACGCCTGTGGAGAACGGAGCGCTGGGAAACCAGCCCCTTTCTCTCTTCGACTGGATGTTCGGCAATCCAGGTAACATCATGGCCTGCGAGAGCAGCGACGAGGACGTCATTGTTGAGGCCTCACCTTCGGAGGCCGAGTACAACCTTCGACCGCAATCCGACCTCTTGCCTGGGAACTGGCCTATTCCAGTGTATCCGCCAAACTACTGCGAACTGCTGGAATTGGAGGCTCAAGCCTTCACCGTGGGCGCGCATGGGAATCCTCACGAGCCACCTGGTACGCTCGCGCCGGGCGAGTTCCGTCCATGCGCGGTGCTGCAGACCCTCATGCAGATGCACGCCGCTCAAGCTGAAGAGTATCCTGATAGTCAACAGAGCGTTGACAGCGGCCACATGATGCTGCCAGACTCCGGTGTCTGTGACGACTCGGAATTGCTGCTGGCGGCCCTCGCTCTCATCGACAGCGTGATCCCTGACGACGTGTAGCGGCACGTATGGTATGCAAAGGGGCGTTGGCGCCACGCCCTTGAGAGGGCTATCACGATGCGTGGACAGGCGCTTCCTCCGCCGGGATGGGGTCTCCAGACAGTGGGGCTACAGCCCAACCATGCGGCCGTGCGTATGACTATGCTCAGCTTGAGGCGCGCGCCGTGCTCGGCAACGAGCCTGAGCCGACCGCCATGCCGCCGACGCCGGGACGGCCTAGCGGTGCTCAGACGCCTCCACAGCAGGGAAACCTGCCCGCCCCGGCTGGGCCAATGACCGTTGTCATTGGCAATCCTACTCTAGAAATTGAAGATGATGACGGATGTGGATTGTGCGAGGACGAGGCTACCATCCTTATGATGGACGTCAATGGCGAAGACGAGGAGGTGGACTTCGATCCAGACAGCCCTGACGCACAACCATCCGCACAAGAGCCAATAATGCCAGACTCCAGTCAGCAGGGGGACCTGCCCGCCCAGGATGCGCTGCCTACGCCTACCCAGGAACCCCCGTCATTTCCTGCTCAGGCTATGTCAGCAGCATCGTCCGATGAACAGGCCAGGAGGTTTCGCTCACATCCGCGTCTCAGGGGCGATCCGCACCCCCAAGGACGGCTCCCACGTGAATGGAGACAGGCAGCCCCATCAGAGCATGCCGCTCGACGGGGGGGCCAGCTGCTCGCCTACAACGACCCTAGGCGCCAAACGGGTGAGCACTCTGCCTTTGGACAGGGCAACCCGATCTACAGGGGCGCCCAAGGCAGGTCCATGCGGGGTGGATATCA